TTGATCTTCTATCCAGAACACTCAAACTTTCTCCATATCAGCAATAAGGCTGTTTCACTTTCGCATCATTCATGTGTTCACCAGAGTAGCACTTCTAATTTTCTTCGAGAACTTTAACTTGCATTCACAACTTGGCTAACTATTTTGCACAAGAGGCCTAGCTTTTGGCCTATTTCAGTTTTTAAAATGCCCTCCTCACTAATCATTTCTAGTTTTGATTTAAAGTGAGAGGCATGCAACTCTTCCTTTCTTGAACACTCAGGAGCCATCGTAGGGTTATTAATTGGCCTAATTTCAATATTGACGTGTCTCAGGGCATAGGGAGGCCTGAGCAGAGGGAGAGAGAGATGGTGGGAGAGATGGGAGAGATGGGGGAATGGCTGGTGGGTGGAGTAGTCAGGACACACACAACATTCTTCAATTCAGTTTGCCATTTTACATGGGTCCGGTTCATGGTGCCCCAAAACAATTAAAATAGTAACATCAAAGATCACTGATCATAGATCATCATAACAGATATAATAATAATGAAAAAATTTGAAATACTAAGAGAATTACCAAAATGTGACACAGAGACATGAAGTGAGCACTTGCCAACAGACTTTCTAAGCACAAGGTTGCCACAAACCTTCAATTTGTAAAAAATGCAATATCTATGGAGCTCAATAAAGTGAAGTATGGTAAGACAAGGTATGCCTCTGTGCGTGTGTGTGTGTGTATGTATAACTTTTTACTGAGGATGAATGTTTGAAAAAGGAGACAGTAGACAAATGAAAAAACATGAGATGATCTTGGAAAGCCACTCCTTATCAAATAACTAGAAATATATTCAGAAAAGTTACAGACCATGCCCTGTGTCTCTGGACCACCTTATTTTGTTCTCTTCTGTGTGAAAGGCCACATATTCTTTAAGACTCAGCTTCAGTTTCATCTCTAAGTGATGCCTTCCTTGACAGCTACTCTCCCTGCTACATCCCGTTCCTAGGGGGATAATTCATTCTTCTCCCAACTGAGTTCTCATTCCATTTTGTTCACACTTTTGTATAACCCTGTACAACATGCCAGCACTATGCATAATCGGCCATACGTCTGTTTTTCCAGTTACTTGTGTGCGTCGACTGTGTCTCAGTTTCAGGTTTCCTGTGCCAAGCACGGTGCCCAGCCCCCTGGTAAGTGCTCGCTCAACAAACGTGTGTCTACTGGATGAACCCTGTATCCAAGGGGGAGAAGCAGGAAACAGCAGACATGGCAATTGGTTTTGCCTGCAGGGTTTTGTTGGTGGTGTTTCTGGTTTTGTTTTGATGCTGTTAGTAAGGTAAAGTTTGTGATTGTGCCTGGTGGGGAGAAGGCTTAGCATTTGTAAAATTATGACATGATCTGCAATCCATGCTAGAATTCTAGGATTTGGTGCTGAGGAAAAAACCCTGAGATTTGAAGACATCTGTAAGCTTCTTCCTTAAAGCTTCCTTGCCTTTTCCCTACAGGCCTTGGGCATGGACAATCAGGAACCCCACTGGGCATGTGTGAGGAAAAGGCCCCTCCTATGTAATTGGATGTAAAAAAAAAAAAAAGAAAGAAAGAAAGAAAGAAAATCTCTTTTAGACAGGCACAGGGTTTTGGCTGAAGTTCAGCCACATACCTATTCTAAGCTGAATGTGGGTATAGCCCTAATAATTACAGTTACTCTTTAGAGAAAGAGCCCAAGAGGTTTACCTGGAGATTTTTTCCAGATGTACGCAGGTATGTGAGAAGCGCAGTAATGAAGCTGTAAACCGGATGAGGCCACTCTGTGCCCCACAGTCTTCTCTGGAATCGCTCGAATGCTAGGAGATGTTCCCCAGCAATCACGAGGGTGATGCAACGCAGCCATCTAACAAACACCAGATGCCTGAGTAGCCCTATAAGCTGTAGTGTTAAAGAGAAGGGGGGCAAACCCCCAAGTCTGAATGCCTTTGCAGTTATCAATCTGTCATGAATTGTAATCAAACAGAAACAAACCTCTTTATTCTGTCAGTTCCTGGGACAGGTCCATCATATGCCTCACAGACATGCTCTGGGTGGCTGGAGCCCTCAGGCATCTGCACCCCTCCTTCAGCCTCCCGTTGCAGAGCCTGCCTCAGTGACATCAGCACAGAAACCCCACCCCCACCACCTGGGCTCTACCTCTTTCTAGATGAGGAAAGATTAACTGTATCAGCTATCCCAGAAACAGAATATTTTGGTCAAATCCATCTTTAGTATCACCTCAATTTTTCCTTTTTTCCATATGAATCCAGAATAGGGCTTATTTTTGCAGTGGTATTTAGAATTATTAGCAGTATTAAAGTTAGCCCTTAGGGAAAAAACTGAAACTGTCTGTCTCCAAAGTGTAAGAAAATCAAAGTGTACAAATGCTTAACTAGCCCTTTCTGTAATAAAGCAGTCACACTGCAAGATATATTTTGGAAGAGCAAATTGCAGTTTACTTGAAATAAATAAGAAATGATGTACACATTTACCCTCCAGGTGAAAACTCATCTGCAGCTGAACACTATCCAAACAGCCAACGTCCTACACTGGAGGTAGTTTAGGCGAAGTAAGGAACACAGCCTTTGAAGTCACGTGAACTTGGATTTCAATTTAAGCTTGGCCACATACTAGCCATGTAACTTGTATGAACTGTTTTGAGCTTTAGCCCCATTATCTGTAAAATGGAGATAAGACTACTTGCCTTACATTAGTTAATGAATTAAGTGCCTGACTTATTTATAGAGGTTATTGAATACACAATATCATTAAGGTGAAAAGAATCCCATGGTGAGATTGAAGGCCTTGGGAATTAAGCTTGGGCAACTGCAAGTTAACTCTTGTAACTCTCTTCTGGGCCACAGCATGCACATAACTTCTCTTACTTTGCTTTCTGGTTATTTACACTTCTGTACCTTTACCCTGCCAGGACAGTGCTGAACCAAGCACTTAATAATGACTAATTCGCTTGCCCTTCCACTTAGTCCAGAGAATCTGTCCTGCTTGGCCTGCATGATAATAAGAGTGAGTTTGTGTTTGCTGGGAGTGCTGGGCCGGACACCACAGGGAGGGGAGTTGAAAACCCTTAAAATAAGAATGAGGCTCCCTGGCACCCATCATCTGACAACTTTGCACGGTTCCATAATCAAACTAAAAATTGGGAAAACCTTATGCGGGCTGAGAATCTTACTTGGCTCCCAAATCTTGGGTCGCTATGGCTTTATCCCACAATGGTTCCATACAAGCTCCTTACCTGAAGGACAGCCTTTCAAGATATTTGTGGGGGGCGTGGTCAGAGCTGCCTGGTTCAGAGCCTACAGTCACCTCCAGGCTGCCAATCCCTCTCAAGATGGGGCCAGGACAAGACTAGCCTCTGCGAACGAATGGATAGGAAGCATTCTTGCCAGAATTCTCTTCTATGACAGACAGCATTTTTTTCAGGCCCCACATCAAAATGGTGAAATTTCAATCAGTCATGTAAAGCATGAGCTCTGGCTGGAAGTCAGTACAGGGTACTTGTAAGCAGGTCCCAAACAGTTTTTAAATTCAACCTTTTTCGTATGCCAGCATCTCCTAGAAGTCATTTTGTTGTTAAGATCTGTGCAATGGTAACAGTTTTCTGACAAAAAAAGAATGAAGGTTTGGGCAACTGGCACCTTCACAGAAATTTCATGAAAGGTTAAAAAAGCTTCATGATGATGATGGTTTAAAAGCAGAGGTATAAGGAACTAGAAGAGATGAGAAAGAGCATATGTATATTTATACACTGAGGTTTGTTCTCTAATCTTAGAATCACTCAGATGGCCCCGCCATGGACATTCTGTGGTTCTAGACAGGCACTGGGAAGCACCATGAGGCAGCCCAGGTCACCCTGGAAGTGCAGACAGGAATTAAGGTGGTGCTAGTTGATGAGGACAGGGGAGTCCTCCAGAACAAGATAAATGGACAGGGAAGGACAAGAATAGCTGAAAGGCAGGAAGCTATGGGAAAACTCTTTAAGCCATCCCCACAGAAAGAAAACCAGTGATGGCAAAACAAGCCATTTTAAAGGGTCAGATATAAATGCTTTTAAAATTAACACTAATTGAAGTTTTCTCATTAAAAGTTCCAAGGCAGTGGTTCTCAAATTTGAACAAGCACAAGAATCATGTGGAAGGCTTGCCAAAACAAAGACTGCTAAAGCCCCCATTCCAGAACTTTTTTTTTTAGTAAGTCTGGGATGAGTCCTGAAAATTTGCATTCCTAGCAAGTTCCCGTATGATGCTAACGCCTCAGTTTGAGGACCATGCTGTGAGAAATGCTCTTCTAAGGTATGCTACATGAAATTGCTGACCTGTGAATTTTAGGATCCCAGGTATATGACTTAAAGAATTAGTTGAAAAACAAAGTCCTCATCACTCCTCTTTTCCTCCCCAAAACAAATAAATCAACAAAACAAATGAATAATTAAACAGTGCAACAAGTAATACTATACCAAAGCTCACCTGTAGAGATGACATTTAAAGGTGAATTCATCTGTGAGCAGTGGGGAACTCCTAACGTATTTCCCTGGAAACCAACCCCAGATAATAACTTCCTGTCAAATTTTTAAACAGAAGCCTAGGCACCAGCGTGGTATCATTCCCATATTTTTATCCATAGAGTTGTCATGGTGGAACTCCCCAAAGTCCATATTTTAAGCACAAAACCATACACAAGCTGCTGAAGATTTTGCTGAGGTGAGGTGAAGGTTGAATAATTCTACAAATGTTTCCCTTTCCTCCAGTCTTTCAGATCCCTGGAGGCCTCTCCTAGGGCATGGGGTATGGAGAGTTGGACTTGACCCTACTGTGAGAGACCCAACTTCCAAAAGCTACATCTGACTAAAGGCCCCTGATTACAAACTACAGACTTGTCGGCTGGGTAAGGAGGTAAACAGAGCAGTCTACTACAAACTCCAGTCCACCCAGCTACGCTAAAAATAAGGGGAGTCTTTAGAATTCAGAGAAGAAAACATTTTTATAAAGCAATTTTATTGTATAATTTCTGTATATAATAAACATAGGAAATGGGCTTTTAATGAAAATTTCATGTCATTTTTTTCAAAAGTTTTCAACTGTCTGGAGAAATATTATTACAAAGCTATCTAAGGCAAAAATAATATTTGACCTTCAGAACAAAAGGTTCATCATTTTCATGTTTAAAGCAAGACATTTTAAACACAATTAACATGGAGAGGTTTTCAAATTGCTACGTCATCTGCGTTAAGAATTTAAATGCATTTAAGAAGTGAAGAGTTTAAACACATAGAAATGTTCTCTAATGTGACAGAGATATTGCTGCTTTCTTCAGATCCGTTCTGCATGAAGTATCCATCCTGCTATAGTTTTTGCGCCCGGCAGAATTCTGCATCTTCCAATGGTACGGTGAGAGCTGGAGTGCAGAGAGGGAAAGTCCCTTGCACTTCCTATGTTAAATGGCATAACTTCCACAGATCACATACACCTCACCATATTGACTCAGTTCATTGCACTCCATATCCTGCAAAAATAAATCTAGTGCTCGACAGCTGACATTATTGCTCACTGACATTTTAGTAATATATTTCTTTAACATAAGACAGAAATATACTGAAATTTGATACCACTTAAACCCAAAGGCAATCTGGAATTAAACCACATGCGCGCACCCCGCTTTTTTTTTTTTCAATGGATGTTGCATTTTTCTTAAAGTTGATGGTGGAAAACGTGGTAGAAGAAAAACTGGCTTTCCTTGAAACAAAGACTGAGGATTAGAAAAAGGTCTGTACACAGGCCTTTTAAGCGGAGTGTTCAGTCCTACAACAAAACGAAGGAACAATGACCATCCAGTCTCTGGGGAGAAGGAAGATGTCTCTCATTTATCTTCCTTGCCTACCCTAACACTGTGGCTCGTACCCAACGGACCCCAGGGGAGGCTACTGCATATAGCTGGGGCAGTCGTGTGCCTCTGAAGGATGGACTGCAGGGTGTGACGATGCTCTGGGAGACCCACTTCTTTAGCCACCCCAATGTGGGATCCTTGGGTTGCTGGGAAATATGGGGGCTCCCTCTGTGAGGGCGAGAAAGACTTCTGGGATGATCTGGATGCTGATGGCCTGCCTGGTCTTAAATTATACACCTCATTTCTGGAGAGCAGTGATGCCTGTGGATTCCAGGGTGACCCCAGGGCCTGGGTGAAACATCTCAGAGCTGAGGGAGCATGTGGACGCTCAGACAGACAGGAGCGTGACTCCTCTGGAATTACAAAGTGGCAGCATACGTGACAATGAAGAGTCCCCGGGATGTCAAGGCTTCACCAGACATGCTTGTGGAGACACAGAAGAATGTGGACACGGCCACACTGACATTTTGATTCGTTACAACTTTTCATTCTAATTTCTCATTTCTTTAAAATTATCAAGTGTCCCTCTTTCTTATTTTTGTCTTGGTTTTTACAAGGAAAGATATCAGTCTTCATAAGCTTTCAAAGATTTACAAAAAGTAGTATTTTTTTAAGCTGTATTTCAGGATTAGCATTCTTAGTTACAGACACGATATGCATTAGTCACACGCCATACCTTCACACCTGGCTACCTACAACCGCATCACCTTATATCACCATTGCTCATGCCTGTGAAAACCTTGCTGTGCACAGTGGCACCCACTGCACCATGATAAATGCTGATGAAACAACCGAGCAGAGCTTCTCAAAGTAAAACTAGCCATATTGCTACAAAAAATTTCTGGCTCTCGGCCCAACTGTTTCCATATCAGTCAGCTAAGTCAGCCTTCTCTCTGCTGCTTTCCATTTCAAATGCCCGGGCTTCAGCCTTTGAGGCAATTAGAACCAGATCAGCTTAATTTTGCAACACTGATCTTAATGGGTATAGCAATACAGTAATTTTGCCCTGAGAGTGTCAATACATTTTACAAATATTATCAGTCCCAGTTTATACAGGAAGAAATAGGCACAGAGAGGCTAAATGGCTTGTCCCTTGTCACACAGCAGATTAGTGGCAAGTGTGGAACTTGAGCTTCTGGCTATTTCTACTTTAATCCCGAACATCTTTCCGGAGGTCAGCTCTGTTTGTTCTGTACAGCATCCTGTTGGCTTTTCTGCCCAGCATCGGATTTTTCAGTACCCAAGACTCCATCCTTGGTCTTCTCTGCTCTCTCTCATTTCTGCCGCCTTGATGAAGTGCGTTGTCCCCAGTATTTTATTTTACACAGTGGAACTGACCAAAGGCCCTTCCAGCTGCAGCTGGTATTAGGTGTGGAGAGAAGGACTTATAAAAAGGCAACGGGCAGGTGTTCCTCTTTGTGAACTTCGGACAAAATGGGGCTCAACATTTTACAGTTGTCTTACATTCCAATGTTTTCAATGGAAAATAAAATAAAGGACTAAAGGTGAGGTAATGTTTACTTCTCTGCCACAACACTCAGTGTTCCCCCTCAGATCTGGCAACAATTTAACATAAGGAAAGACTTTAGACCTTCACACCCTTTTAGTGAGGAAAAGAAACGACCTTAGCTCAAACTTTCCACAAAGCTGCGAAGTCTCGTGAGACATCTCTCCATCCTTATCGTAGGTGGATCTGTCCAAAGGCCTGAAGGCCACGTGTCTCCCAGGTCCCCACGCCCTGCACTTCCCAGCTCTGGTCACTACATTACTTCGGAGATCTCTTTTCACGTCTGAAGACCACGCACCCTCTGCCTCTTAATCAAGGGGAGAAAAATACTGCAAAAGAAGCTGTGTGCTCAAAGAAAAGAATGCCAAGGGGTATGCAAGTGGCTTGTGAAGAAGTTTCACAAAGCTATCACCCACTGCGAAAGCTATAAATAGTCCTTGATCTAGTCAATAGCAAAATACGTGGAGGGGCAGGGCCTCTGTTTACACAGAAGAAAAAATATCAATAGCACAAAACTGCCCTTATAGTTTTTGGAAAAATATATCTATGAAGATAAACAATTCTGATTGTTTTTTGTTTGTTGTTTTTTTTTGTTTTTTTTTTTTCACTAAGCTGTGCATTAAGTACACTTTGTTTCTGTCACTCTCCGTCACTCTACAGCTCCGTTTTGTCGCCCTGGGCCGGGCTGCCCACCCCACTGGCTCCCTCGGCGCAGCTGCTATCTGCAGGTGTGAAAGACAAGGACGCTGAATTTGTGCAGTATCTTTTGCCGGTTGGACGAGGCCCGTCGTCAAAAATGTGCCCAAGGTGAGCACCGCACTGAAAGAGAAGAACGAAAGGTAAGGGCAAGCGTGCACAAAGCAGGCTTGGAGGGACTCACAGTAGGCAGTTTAAACGGATGGCCAGCCTGGAGGGGAGTGATGGGAACCATCGTGGACGATTCCTGATCCACCTGTCAATAGCTGCAAAGATGGTTTCTGGCAGGCTTTGTACCACATGCTGAGAATGAAAAACACTAGAATTGTGCATATCAGAAATCATTTCGGAGCCACTGTATTTTCTGATTGTGAAGTCTCTCAGCCAGCTGAAAAATGACTGCAGTAATTTTATGAATTGAGTTGACCCTTGATCTCCCCTTGTAAGAAACATGGCTGAATAAAATCTCTCCCCCGGCATTACTTTTGGCTTTGGATGGGTGGGTTTCAGATATGCAGAAGTCCACTGTAAAAGATACTGTTTAACTGGCCATGACGGAGGTGATGTTTGCTTTCATGGACAGTAAAACTTAACATCAGACAAGCATTGCGTGTTCTTGGAACCCAGAGAAGCAATGGCAAGGCTCAATAGATTTATGTCATGGTCACCAGGGCTGCAAGTATAGCAAATAGAAATGTCTCCAGCCCACACAATTGTTTTCTCCTGGCTTCCAATAGGTGGAGTGTCATGCTGGCTTCTTTACCCAAATGAACTGTAATACGGGGAGAAGGAATAAACTGCTTGGCTAAAATCAATGCTACTGACTATTCAAAAAGCTGGGGAAGGAGAGGCCCAGGGTCCAGACATGGTTGGTTATGATGGTGTTGAAGAGAAATCAAGTCCAGGGAAAGTTTCTCCAAAAAGACTGGCTCACGGAATAAAGCCTTGCACTAACTGCTTGGGTGCTGGGTATAGCTCCAGGAAATGACGGTGTATACACACCTGCAGATCTCCCACTCTTTCTCAGCAGAGAAGGTGAAGGAGATGGAGACATTAGGCCACCACATTCAAATAGGCTGTGAAAAACACATCACCCATCATGTAACAAAGAAACCAAAGCCTGGGGTAAATGACTTTCATTCACTGGTTTAACAGATATTTACGGAGTGTCTGCTACATGCCAGGCTCTGGCCCAGCCTCTGGAGGTACAGGTAGCAATCCCTGTCCTCATAGAGTTTACCTGCTGGTGGGAAAGACAGACAATATTCAAGACAATAAGTGAACTGCAAAGTATGGTATGTAGAAATCAATGCTAAGGAGGGGGGATCAAAGGAAAGCAATATGAAGTGTCAGAGTTGGGGGCTGACATTGTAGATAGAGTAGATAAGAGAAGCCTCCCTGGGGTGACTTTGGAATAAGGGCCTAAAGGAAGTAGATATATAGGGGAGAGCATTTCAAGGAGAGGGAAGAGTCAAGACTTAGATAAGAATATGAGAGACAAGGTATATATGGATGATTTATTAAATCTCATTGTGCTGCTTCAGTATATAAACACTTATAAGCCACAGGGAAAGGGAGTATGAATTGACAGGGACTGGGTCTGAGATGCCTAATGGAGATGTGCAGAGAGAAATGAGGGAGGGTGCTCATTACAATAGAAAGAACTAGAATCTTAGTTTCCCTGTTGAAAGTGCTAAACTCAATTCTCAAGGGTTCCCTGGCTATTAATAAATAGCACAAATGGTAACTTTGGCTATATGGCACTTCCATGTTAAAAGTGCATTCTTATTTTACTGCCAGCATACTGTGTCAGCTTATTAAAAAACTAAAAATGAACCCTGAACTGATTTGATCTATTTCCTGGAAAATATGAAACAGGCCTAAAAAACAAATCTTGCATTATTTTACCACATTCTATGCAGGTTTAGGTAATATCAAGGCTGACAGCTCAGACTGCTTTTCCTTTCTATAAACAACTGAGGCCAAATTTTCAGGCATCAGCAGCTAAGATGCACCAGTAAAATTACATATGCTTGCCCAGTGGACACAGGAAACACCCATTTCTGCCTGCCAGAACAGCGGGCAGGCCAACAGGAACTAGTGCTCTTGGTGACCAGTGTGTATGCACAATTATTGATTTCATAAAAGCAGCTGCGGCACGTTGATCACCTGGCATCTGAGAGGTGAAGTTTTCACACACATAAAAACCTTAGGGGTGTGTGTGTGTGTGTGTGTGTGTGTGTGTGTGTGTGTTTAATGAGACAATACGGCTAGCCAGGCAATATAAATAATTGCCTTTATTAATCATCTCTTGAGCATATTTAGAAAACAGTTCTATTTACATTACTCCAAAAAGAAGGCATAGGAAGGATATACTTGAAGCCATTTAGGAGTAAAATATATGGTCTTAATTTCCCAAATCATATTTTAAAAATGCCAATTACAATAATTTAATTTGTTGAACTGAGTTTGCTTTTCAATCTGTAGTTTCATTTGCTAATCCGGATCTAGTATTCTGGTTAAACAGAAGGAAAAACACTGATTCTAGATGTGTCCCTAATCCAAGGCAAAAGAAAAAGAGAGGCGAGGAGGAGAAAGTATAGTTAGGAAAAGGCAACAAAAATCATTTGCAAACAAGTATATGAGCTGGGGACGAGGGTAGGGAAATCTTCAGAAAAGGTTTGAGTCCCCTATACTTATGGCTTCATTATGCTTGTCACACAGTCTTCTGGAGATTCACACAAGCCTTATACTACAGAGAAAGGAGAAATATTTTTTCAGGAGCTAGCAAGGGATTCATTTGTATCTGTGGCACAGCCTACATGCCCACTCCATTGCCCACAAAGCCGCAAGGCCATTTGCCTGAGGGAAGCCTGACCATGCAGCGCCTTTTTGTGCTTCCTCCCAGGTACACCTAGTCTCCCAGAAAAGACTGTTGCCCAGTTTCTTTTAAAAGTGCACAAGCCCTGAAGGCTCCTCCCTGAGGGGAACGCGCACATGGAGCTCATTCTTTGCAGCTTCTAGCCCTGGCCAAAGGCTGGGATGATGAATGGAAGTTGTCAGTGATGCATTGTTTCTTTAGCCGCCTGCGAGCTCTGCCTCCACGGCCCCAGCCAACTGGCTATGCGCTGGGCTCTCTCAGCACACCTGGTTGTAACTGAAACAAACTGGTTGCCTGGTGAAGAAATCTCTGAAACCTGCTGTTGATGATTTATTTTAGGATAGATTCTTTGGTGTGCATTTTGAACGCTGTTTTTAATGGTTATGTATTTCTTTATTTTATAGGTAAATATGAACTATACCTGAAGATTCTAGTCCTCATTCTAAAGAGAATCAGTTATCTAACTGTTCAAAAGAAAAATTTTAAATTCCCACAGGAATCCTTTATCACCTAAGCCTCCCACTCAGAGAAGTGGGCAACTAAAGAACCTACAGAAAACCAAGGGAAAGGAGGCCCCTAAAATAAGTGATTGAGTATCAAATTTAACATAATTCCTTAAAATCTGACTGCAATTCTCAATTATGTGCATAAGAAACACAAACAGTGTATTCAACACAGTTACATATTTCTGCATTGATGTATTTCCCACTGTCCTAGAGGGGTTTCTCCTAGCTATTCCTAGGAAGTTTGGCCTTTATTATCGTCATTTTCTCTAAAGTGTTTAATCTACGATATGAAGCACTTTCAAAGCAGGGCTTTTAAACTTGGGCACATGGGGCAGGATGGGAAAGAGAAAACAGTTTTAAGAAGAAAAGCAATTTACTTTGCCCAGTAGTATTTTGTTTTCTCCCACTGTGATTGAAGACACTTGTGTAAGTAGGGGCTTTTTTTCCCCCTCTGTGCCTGTGATATCAATCTTTTGCCAAGGAAATGACTGTAAAGTCACCAGTTTAGCATTATGATTCTACTGAAAGATCAAGAAAAAGAGAGATGGGCTGTGAGTCTGAAACCCTACCGTAACACGTGGGTATCTTTAATCATCAGCAATATACGAGTTGTCATCTGCCGAAGATGAATAAGGTTCGGGGTTTTACCAAAAGCTGCTTAGCTTTTGAAAAATACTTTGTATTGGTCCATATTTACCTTTCTGTTTATTTGCTTGACTTAGAACAAATTAATGATCTAAAACAAATCTAAGGGACTCTACCATAGACTCAAGCAGTAATAGCAGCAGTCATAAATAGACACCAACTTGGGTAAACTCAGGGATCTGATGGTTTCCTTAAAGCTTATTACAAAAAGTTAAGTGATTTATTAGTCTCCCATTTGCTCCAGATGTAGAATTTTGATCTCAAGAAGGAAGAATTCTCCAAGTATTTCCAGGAGGAACTTACTTCGCTGAACTACAGCTTAAACCATGCAAATCTTACCTCTTTGCACTGAATTTAAACTCCTGACAAAGCGTTGCTTAACAAGCTGGGGTTGGAGGATTAGGGAGAAGCTGTCAAATAATTATTCACAGTAGTCAGTGAAACTGGAATAGAGGCAATGTATTTTATTATAGCTGAAAATATAAATTAAATAAAATTAAGGAAAATCCTTTATAACTGAAAATTATTAGGAAGTGGCTGCAGCCTGGGGGAAGATACACATGCCCACCAAAGCAGGCAAATTTAAGATAAAGATCCTCATTGGGAGAGATAACTGGAATGAAATTCTTCAATTCAGTAGGTGGAACAGCAAAAGAAAAACAAATACAATTGCAACATAAATCAGAATACAACAAGGTAACCTGTTACCTCCATAAGCAGCAATCATAATAAAGGTAGAGAAGAATCTCTTCCACCCTTACTAGTTTTCTGTGCTGTCAACTCAAAGATCAGGCTGTGTGCTAGGTTTCTTATACAACAATTCTTTCAGAAGGACATGAGTGCAAAACTTCCAGAAAAAGTGGTGCTAGAACTAAACCAATCTCAACTCTCTCAATGATATTTTACTAAAAACATTATTACCTAAGAAGTCATTGGAGACATGGACAAACTACATACAATGTACTGTGAAGCAGTGTGGGTTTTGGCTCTCAATGTGTCTACAATTCCTACCCAAATTTGAAGACTAATTCACTGCATGCATGGTGTTATCTCCACCATAATTAAAAAAAAAAAAACCCACAAAGGATCCTAAGTACTAAAGCGAGAATTAGGGACCAATAGACCAATAAAATATTGCCATGCTGCTAAGCAAACAGGTTGAATATATTGGTATCATCCATGAAGGTCAGTTTATTTGTATAAGTTGGCAGTAAAAGAGTCTTCATATTTCACTACTCTATCTTTACCACAAGGAAAGAGGTACTCCACATAACACAGCCAACTGAGAATGTCTATGACATATTAAAAGCATCTAATAGATTCTTCATAACACAAACCACATTGATGCAATTCAGTCCAGAGAAAAAGCAAGCCATATGAATTCAAAATACAACAAGAATTTTAGAAAGAGGAAAAGCAAACCAGAGAAGTTTCCCATACTGTCTCACTATCAAAAAGAAAAAGAAAAAAAAAAAAAACCCTAAAAAAAATGGGAGAAGTTGTGAGCAGGAGAAGAAACTACATATACTGAAAACTTTAAGGTAAAAAAAAAGTTTAAGTGATAATGAAAAATTGTACTGAGAATGAGAAAATAGAAAGTAAAACACAGTAGTTGCTCTAGTATGGGAACCAGTAAATCAGTTATTTTTTTTCAAGTCAAGATAAAAAAGATGCATGAGAAAAGCAAAAGAAAAAACTGAAAAGAACTGTAGGACAAAAGGAAAATAAACATGCATGAAATACAAGACAAACAAACTGAAGTGAAAGAAACTCAGCCCACTTTAATCTAGTGAGTAGCTACTGTACTTGGGTGGCAGGGATCCCCCTCTGTCACCATGGGGAAAAAGTCCAGCACACGTGCCATTCTTCAGTGCTGGAACCTCATTATCTCCTACATGGAACTTACCATGCAAAGCAGGTATTTTTATATGTGCCTTAGTGGAACAAATTTCTCCCCCTCTTCTCTTTAAATTTATGACTTTTATTCATAAAAGAAAGGATCAAACACCTTCTAAATATGAGAAGTGAAGACTGTATAAAAAGAAGCCAAAAAGGAACAGGTCAGTGTAAGTCCTTCACACAACTGCTAGGAAAGGACCTAAAGAACAGCAACAGTCATGTTGGGCTTTAACCAAAGGGCTAAGAGCTATGCTTGGTTTAGTGTGACTTCTTTTATGAATGCTGCCTAATTTTGGCATTGTTTGTAGATTTCCTTTCCTTTTGGTCACCGTGGTCATCTCCGTAATGGTCTTTCCTTAACTACTACTGATGTGATCTCTGTGGCTGGCACAGAGAAAGGAGAAAGCATATTTCAACAGTGAATTATAAGAGTTAGTCACAAAGAAATCAGAGAATACAGTCTTTAAGGAAAGTTATTATCTTATGCCTCCTTTTTTATGTACCTTTCTAATTTAGTTTTCATACATAGGACTCAATGTTTAGAAATGGGCTCTAAGTGAAAAGCAGAGTAGTAGTCATATAGTAGCCTTTTATCAGCTTAAAAAAAAAAAAGAAACAGCTATTAGCCTTAAAAAGAGGTTTACTAAGTACTATGTACATAAGTTACAAATTACCATGTACCATCCTCTTATAGTTTACCTTCTTGTCAAATATTTTAGATGCTTGAGTAGAAAATTTCTTTCTGTGACAGTTTTAAAATCATCAGTTAAAATTCAATTGAATTCAAAACTGAATTGCATTAAACCAAGTGCTGGGGGATCACGAGATTTGTTTTACTTTAATAACTCTTTCCAGTCTGTCTGTCTGTCGATCTATCTATCTATTCATCTGTGCACCATAAAGAGCTCTGGAGTGACATTGCCCAAATTCAGGTCTCAGGTCTACCACTTAAAGCCACATAAATTTGCTCAAGTTTAATTACTCTCTTTGTGCCTCAGTTTCCTCATCTGTAAAATAAGGGAAAATAACAGTATCTATCTCATAGGGTAATTGTGACCATTAAACCAGAGGAGATTTCTAAAATGCTGCTTCTCAGTCCAATCAAGTTAGAATCTCAGAGTGAAATCTGGCATTAGAAAATTCCACTATCATTCTCAAAGACTCATTTCTGTGAAACAAGGGGGAACTGAAAATGTGATTTAGATAAAACATGAAGTCTAATTTTCAAAGGAGAGAGTAGTTTTCATCCTTGGAAGACAGTAAACTTGCCAGCCTTATTTTTTAAAAAAACATGAGAAAAATTCATCAGATGGTTAGGGTCAAACCAATCTCCCTCCCTACATGGTAGTAAATATGCCATCAACTCCCTAAAAGTCTTTTGCCTGATGAAGGGGGTAAAGAATTCAGCAGGTGGCCCACGTGGCCATCACTTTGCTACTACAGCTATGTCCCTTTCCTCTGATATGTCCAACAAAATACTGATCTGCCAACAAAATACTCTGTGGCATCAATGAGCTTCAATGCCACAATACTCAGACTTTACATTTCGCTTATTTAAAGCAGATGAGAAGAACAGGACTAATTTCTGTAGCATGTGTGCTTATTTTCTGTGTATGAGGAGGTTCTAACTATGTCTCTGGGTTTAAGTATAAAATACCCACAAGTTCATCTCTTGACTGGGGATGGCAGATTTGCCTCCACACAGGCTCATTTTCTCCTTTACAGAAAGCAGTAATTTTGTTAGGACAGAACTGAAAAAACTAATTAGAAAATTCTTGGAAATGAGGATAAGTCTACATATTGAGGGAAGCAGAGACAGAATTATCTTATCTCCTATTCCTACTCTGCCCTCATACAGCCTTCCCCTGGACTTCTACTTCCTACAGCCTCTCTCCAACCATCCTCCTCACATCCACCCAAGAAAAGCCATTTCTGGGGTCTTCACTGACTGTGTTTAAATCACTGCCATTAGGGGAATTACAACTGAACAGTGGGTACACAGAATTGCAAAGAGAAGGCGATTGTCAAAGCATCAGGTTATGTAATGCCTTGAAATGAAATCTTCTTTTGCCCCCAGAATAGCCCACTCCCTACCATATAGAGTCACCTAAAGATGACTTTCTCTTACCACTGATTTTAAAAGTATTGAAGCCAATAACTGACATTTCTCTAGGCTTGCTAAAGCCCTGGAGCAAATATCATTCAGACTTTATATAGATTTCATTGTGCTTGTCTGCCCTTCTTGTGTGTGACCAGTCACTTTGCCTTAGTTGCTATATGTAGCACAAACAGAAGTCTTGAAAGTGTTTGCAGTGTGAGCAGCATATTGGGTTTTCAGATGGGGTTAACTGACCTGAGAGCAGCTTGTTTCCACCCTGTGCATCCCGTGGGAAAAGTCATCTGTGAATGTGATTGCCTCAGAATTGATCACATCGTAGAATGAAGGCCAACCTGGGGCAGAGCAGGCACAAAAACCAAAAACAGAGGGAAGAGATACACAGTCTTAGATTAGAATGCAATTTTAAAGAAGTACTAAGCAAATAATGGAAATCCTTAGTATATGCTCAACTTTGCAACCTGCAAAAGTTAAAATCTGAAGAACAATATATTTTGTAAGAGTACAATTATTTTTTAAGAATAACTTTTTCCTCACATTTTAGATTACAGTTGCATTAGGGTTCTGTGTTTCATGAGACATTCTTAGACCATCCAGTGGTTTTCTAGAGCATTCCCAAACTTAGAAAACTCTCTCTCCTCACTCTTTCCCTGGCCTCAAAAGCAACGGGCAAGGGCCCCCAACAACAAGAAACCAACAATGGGAAAATTTTCCAAAACACAATCAACTGGTCTAGCTGTTAACTTTTCAACTATTCCATGTCTCCTTAGAAGGCATTCTTTTTCAGTACTTAGTCTGGGTGGTTAAAAATGAAAAACCCCAAATATCCTTTTGTCTCCATCTTAATCTAATATCCTGGGGCAAGGGATCTGCAAAGCACACTGTCTTTCCATTTCTATGGTCAGGAGACTTGCTCACTTCACAGGAGAAATTCACAGAGCATCATTGCTCAGGCATCTCTAGGTAGCACCTTCTCTTAAATAGAATCTTGTTCCAATTTTCATTTATTCTAATGATTTTTAAAATATATGCACACTTTAAGAAACTCAATGGTAAGTGGACCATGATACTGCACAAATGTTTTGAGTGTACAATCAGGTTTTATGTTCAGTACTTATAGGCATGTTTTTACATTTCCCAAAAATGTGTCTGGAGTTACTGAACTGAAGCCTGCATCCCCAAATGATGAAAGAGGTGCGATGTTGTGGAATTGCTGGCGCAACTTTTTTTTTCTTTTCACAAGCCAACTTTATTCCTACAGAAAGGAGGAAGCTGTTTAAAAACATGGTGGTTTGCGTTAATATACCTACTGAAAGAAAACAGAATGCAAACTTCAACAATATGATTTCCAGTTTTAAACAAAACAAATGAGCTCAGGCCAAGTTTTTACAAGAAACTCTCCCAAACTCCCTCATCTTCTATAATGCAAGAATATTGCTTTCATAATCAGTGATAGGTTTAACACCAAGAGTTTAAACACTTTCCACTTTCTTGATTTCAGTTCAAGATTGTTACAAATTGCCAGGAAAACCATAACCTTCCAGACTATAACATTTCATAAATACTAATTATGCTGACTAGCATTTTAAAGAAAACTCATCTCTCCCTATTTTCTAAATCCTCAAGAGAACTTGAATATATTCTAGGCTGTAATATTTGGTTTACAATAATTACTTGACACATTTAGGTGTTCTTCTTCGTTCAATGACAGAAGTTCCAATTGATAGTGAAGGCAAGTTTAATGGTGGTATTTGAGGGCACTGAAAAATAAAGTCATTTATCTATGAAAAGAAAGGAAACATTCTGTATTTTTCTTTTTAATCTTCCATGGCATAACTCATTTGATTGTAGTTTAAGGCAACTAATATTATGGAGGGGACACACTTGATTCAGTGGTAAACAGGTGAAGAGATTTAGGGGTTTTGTTGTTATTATTGTTTTAAATTTACCATAACACTACCTTACCCCAGCACAAACACATTTTCCTATTTCTAGAATTCAAAGTAGGTATGGAGAAATATATATACACATATATTTTCCCTCTATGCTATGCTGCATCTTATATTTACTTATCCTGTTCTAGTTGTCACACTAGATTTATAATTTATTTTCATGCTTTCCTCCCTTAGTAGGTGCTAAGCACATTGAAGGAGGAGTCAAAGTCGTCAAGCTGAGCGTTCACACTGCCTACTATCGTGTCCAGCACAAAGGCACAACTCAAATGTTTATTAAATTGATTTCCAGTTAGCCTTAAATAAGCAAGTGGGATGAGTAATTATAGTACATCACAGAGTCCCACAAGAAAGAGAAAGAATATAATCATATTCCTTTTTTCACTGCTCATTTCTCACTGCAGTATCTGACTTGGTTCAATCATTGCAATTAAGCCTCCCCATGTAGGTGGAGAAGTAGCCTTATTATGTATTCAGGATGGCAGAAACACGAAGTTCATCTAGGTCACTCATTTTAACAAGGTTTTGGTGGGGCGGAGAGGGACAGCAGAAGGATAAGCTACTTGCCAGGGTTACACAGGCTGTAAGTAGCAGAGCTAAATCTAGAAGCTGGGTATTTTGACTTTTGTCTAAGACTCTCTTCTTATGTTCCATTTTCTTCCTCAAAAAAAAGGCTGAGAGAACTTTCATTTGAATACTCTGAAGGATGGAGATCACAGGCTTTAAGAAATAAGTTTACTGTCCTATCTCAATTAGTTGATAGTTTTCACTTTTGCACTTGGGGCCTCTGGGTGGAAGCAGATAATTAATGTTAAACAACACTGATTCTTTCACCTTGTAATGACCAAACTGTTCAAAGGAAAAGTCCAAGAATGTTGATAGAAATAATGTAATAATCTAGTTTGAGACATAATTTTTTTATTCATTTATCTAAAACAACCACAAAAGCTTAGAAACTTACCCTTAAGTAGTAACACTGAAAAAACTGTCAATTATATTTGGAGTTTCCTAATTCTAACTCTTTCCTACTAATTATAAATCACTGTCTACCAAAGATTTTAAAAGAGAAGAACTGCTTTCAAATGAGCTGTTAAACCATACCCCTATACATTTTGTCTAATCAAATGAAATACTTAAAGAATTTTCCAGAAGTCTATATTTAAGAAAAGAGGAGAGTGAGGTGGGGTAAAACAGAGTAGGGGTTCTCAAAAGAGTTCAGTGTTTCTGGGAAACTGCTGACACTTGAACAGTGTATCTGTTGTTTACCATGGCATTATTTAAACATTAGAAGAGACACTTTGAAAAAAACAAAAATCAAAATCAACAAAGACATTTTAAAACTACCCGAAATTCACAATGTCCCTTTGCACTGTCGAGGAAATGCAGTCTTCAAAATGGAATACTCAGTATGTCAACCCAAACACTGATTAGTGGAGATCAACAAGAGAAGCCATGTAGAAGACTTATAACCCTGTGTGACAGAACACATTTCAAAAGGGAATCATGGCTAACTTCACTGATAAAGTTAACAAAGAAGAATGCTGAGTTGCTTTGCTAGGTCTCTGAAAAAGTGAAGCTCTCTAGAAAGAGAATCTATCAGAAAGGTAAGTCCTTAATGACAATCAAACTAAGAAGGACCTTCGCCCAAGAATAAACTGTCTTGCAGCAGAGAAGCCACAGTGATGACAGCACTTTGAAAGCAGAATTCCCTCATCATGTGAAAGTATTTAAAGGAGGAACTCTCTTCACTGCTGTAAAAATCCTCAAAGGAAACCCTGCCCCCACTCCTAATAATAAGGAAAGTGCTTCAAAGGGTGATAGGCAAAGACTGAAGCAATCTGCCTCTTGTTGAGAAAATTATCTTGAGCAAAAGGGTGGGGGAAGGGGAGTGTGTTTATGTCAGTTTTGACATTAAAGAAAGATCATCCATCCTCCTTTCTCTGGGATTTTCCTTTTGGTCTTCTCATCTAACAAAACATTATTTGTTTTGGATGCATTCCGTGCACTTTTTAAAAGAAAAGTCATGTGAAAACCTGTATAAACAGAGTCGGCTCACCCCACCCCCAACACATCTCTTTGTTTCTATTTGATGAGATTGGATTGGGCCTATTATCATTTCATTTCAAAGAATATAAACTGTACTTTTTAGATGTTAGCCCATTATTACCAAGAATATCTTATTTTCAGTAAATAGGCTCACCCTTCAAAGAATTCCCATTTCCAGACAGCAGATAAATATAGCTACTACTACTTGGAGCAGAAAAGTTGGAATATGGCAGTTCTGCTTCAATTTTATTCAACCATAAGGCCACACTAACCTGCAGATATAATTTAATATTTCTCACATAATGCGCAGCAAATCCAGGATATGCTCACTTACATCTCTAAGAACAAGGGATCCAGATTAGTAGGAGTAGCTCCTTGGTGCTTGTTACCATTTATACCAGAATGGATTTTTTTTATATTGCAGTAAAAAGAATTATTCCCTCCCAACCCATAATGTAGCCTATAAAAGCTGCTCTGAGTCTACTTGAACCCACAATTGAACAGTGACGCGGCTCTCCACAAGTAGGGTTCTGTTGACAAATTTTAAATGTTTCACTCCAACTGCCTCCTGAGAAAAACTTTCTCAGCTCTCTATCCCAACCCGTTCTTCGTTCTTTTCAAATATCAGTGAAACAAGTTGTTAAAATCGCAAAAAATTATAAACAAGTTGAAGCCAATTCTATCTGTACCATGTCTAGAAAATGTGGCCCTCATTCTCCTATTCTTATTAATTTAACAAGGACTGCTATGTGGTTTCAAGTTCCCCTAATCCTTCCCCAGCCCCAAATAAACATTAGAAACCTCAGTAAATGAGCTACTAACCCATCAGGAGAACACAGTAGAAACTATTCATGAATAAGAATTTATTGAATTAAAAGGTAATTACAAATATTTTGTTACTTTTACAAATGTAAAATCAGTTTGAGCACAATGAATCCTAGTTAGGCTTGGGTGATGATTTAATAAGGATGATATATATTTTGGCACAGTTTTGGTGAGGCAAGCTGGAGATCCAGATCCTTATTTCTGTGCATGTACCAGTTCTCATGGCTCTACAATTCTAGAGCAATGTTGCAAAATTTGAAGCTTTTGGTTTTTCTGCTGCTAAATGTTAACCTCAGAGATCACAATTTACCTTATTAGCTACCTCAAGATAAATAATAAAACTGTGTATGAAGAACCTCTGCTAAAGAGAATTGTTTGAAGCTTAGAGCCCTGATTCCTTGCCAAATTTTATTCACTCGAACTGACACTTCAAGTATAACTTTTATCTCATTTTAAAAAGGATAATTCTCTATTCCTCCTCAAGGACCCATTTGGTTGCAATAGTGTTCTAA